CCAGGAACAAGTGATGACCTTCCTATTGCTCTTAGAAAAGGTAAGCGTAAATGTACTTATCCTGTTTCTTCTTTTGTCTTATATAACCATTTGTCCTCACCTACTTGTTCGTTTCTTGCATCCCTTGAGTCTGTATCTGTTCCCAAAACTGTTCATGAAACTTTGTCTCATCCTGGTTGGCGGGCTGCTATGTTGGAGGAAATGACTGCCTTAGATAACAATGGTAGTTGGGATTTAGTGTCTCTTCTTGCAGGAAAGAAACCTATCGGTTGTAAATGAGTGTTTGCTGTTAAAGTTCATCCTGATGGATCCATTGCCCGTTTGAAAGCTTGCCTTGTTGCTAAAGGATTTGCGCACTTATGGAATTGATTATAGTGATACTTTTTCTCCGGTTACTAAATTGGCTTCTGTTAGGTTATTCATTTCCTTGACATCTATTCACCATTGGCCGTTACATCAGCTTGATATTAAAAATGTCTTCCTCCATGGTGATCTTCAAGAGGAAGTGTATATGGAGCAACCACCAGGTTTTGTTGCTCAGGGGGAGAATGGAAAGGTATGTCGCATTCGTAAATCCTTATATGGGTTGAAACAAAGTCCACGAGCATGGTTTGGAAAATTCAGTCAGGTGGTTGAGAACTTTGGAATGAAGAAGAGTAAGTCGGACCATTCTGTCTTCTATAAACAAACTGAGTCTGGTGTTATCTTACTGGTTGTATATGTTGATGATATTGTGATTACTGGTAATGATTCATCAGGCATCCTATCACTCAAAACTTTCCTTCATAGTCAATTTCATACGAAGGATTTGAGAGTGCTGAAATATTTCTTAGGAATTGAGGTAATAAGGAGCAAGAAAGGGATTCTCTTATCACAGAAGAAATATGTACTTGACCTGTTAACTGAAACAGGAAAGTTAGCTGCTAAGGCGCGTAGTATAGGAGAGATACCTAATTTACAACTTACAAAGGAAGGGGAGTTGTTGAAAGATCCTGATAAGTATAGGAGATTAGTAGGGAAGCTGAATTATCTTACGGTTACGAGGCCAGACATAGCTTATCCAGTCAGTATTATAAGTCAGTTTATGAGTTCTCCTACGACTGACCATTGGATCGCATTAGAACATATTCTATGTTATTTGAAAGGTGCTCCTGGACGTGGCTTGTTATATAAAGATCATGGTCATCTTAATATTGAATGTTTTTCAGATGCTGATTGGGCAGGTTCTGAGGAAGATAGAAGATCAACCTCAGGATATTGTGTATTTGTCGGAGGTAATTTAGTTTCTTGGAAAAGTAAGAAACAAAACAGATGAATCAAACTGCTAGAACCAAACCGGATTAGGTGTTTTCTGAAACCAGAAACCCTAAGTGCTACCCCACGACAACTAGAAGGGCGAAGGCGACGGGTGGCGATTGGCGGTGACGAAAGCATACGGCGACGGCGACTGCGATTGGCAGCGAGACGAAACCCACGAACAGCAATCGGAAAACAGCAGCACTGGCGAATCAGCAAACAGCGGCGGTCGGCGGAGGTGACGGCAGTAGTAGTGAGTTGAGTTGGATAGCAATGAACAAAACCCTAAGGGACAAAACCCTAATGGGCACAAAACCCTAATGGGCAAGAAACCTAGAGCTCTGATACCATGTAGAGACTAAGGTTGGAGAGAATCCAATGTCCTATATTCTCATTATTAAAGTCTATATATATATAGACAAATATACAAGGTTGACCTAACCCTATAAGGAGAAGGTAAATGACAAATTAATATTAATACAAGAATATAAAATATACTAATATCTATACTCTAACAGAACCAAACACATTGAAGTTGATTGTCATTATGTACGTGAGAAAATACAGCAAGGATTGGTGGCTACAGGATATGTGAAGACTGAAGTGCAGCTAGGAGATATCTTTACTAAAGCATTGAATGGAGCACGAATAGTTGTTTGTCTAACAAGTTAGGCATGATTAATATATATGCACCAACTTGAGCGGGAGTGTTAGAGTATAGATATTAGTATATTTTATATTCTTGTATTAATATTAATTTGTCCTTTACCTTCTCCTTATAGGATTAGGTCAACATTGTATATTTGTCTATATATATATATACTTTAATAATGAGAATAAATCACATTAGATTCTCTCCAACCTTAGTCTCTACAGGTATAAATGGAGGGCTTGGATGTGGAGTTGACAGTTAATTACTCCATCCTGGTGAATGGGAGACCTAGAGGAAAAATCTTCGCTTCTAGAGGCTTTCGTCAGGGGGATCCCTTGTCTCATTTCCTGTTCATTTTGGTGGTGGACATTCTTAGCTGGTTAGTCTCCATCGGGGTCGAAAAAGGGAGTCTGGAAGCCTTTGAAGTGGGTAGGAGAAAGTGACCCTCTCTCACCTTCAGTTTGCAGATGATACCGTCTTTTTCTATTCTGGTAAGGACAGTGCTTTCAAGAATCTTAATTGCCTCCTTGGTTTTTTTGAAGCTCTTTCTGTCCTTAAGATTAATCGAGGCAAAAGCTCTTTATTGGGGGCGAATTGTGACGTGGGTAATCTTAGAGAGTGGGCTTCCCTGGTTGGGTGTGAAGTTGGTGAGTTTGCTTCCTCCTATCTCGGTCTTCCTTTAGGTCATAATCGTAGGAGTGTGACTTTTTGGACGCCAGTGTGTGAAAAGTTGCAGAAACGCCTTTCATCTTAGAAGAAAGCGTTTTCTCTAAAGGAGGGAGACTTACATTAATCCAATCTGTTTTGAGGGGAATTCCGTCTTACTTTATGTCTCTATTTAAAATCCTGATGGCTGTTAGTGAGGGTCTAGAAAAGATCATGAGGGATTTTCTTTTGGGAGGGAGTAGAGGAGGGGGCAGTATCATCTAGTCAGTTGGAAAGTGGTTACCAAGCCTCTAGATGCAGGGGGTTTGGGCATTGGAAACTTGAGGCTTAGGAATGAGGCTTTTTTAGCTAAATGGTTATGGCGCTTCTTCTATGAGCCTAGGCCCTGTGGCGAAGGATCATTGTGAGTAAATACGGGCCTCACCCGTTTGATTGGGTCCTGGCAGATGGTCTTAAGGTGAGCAATAACAATCCCTGGAAGGCTATAGCTTCGTGTTTCCCCGCTTTTTCCCGTTCTCTTCGTGTTGTTGTGGGGGATTGTCAAAATACTTATTTCTGGGAGGATTCGTGGGTTTGTGATAAACCTTTGTGCCTTGCTTTCTCTCGACTTTATTTTCTATCTGAAAATAAGCTTCTTTCGGTGGCCGAGATTTTGAATCCTGGGGGAGGGGGGGTTCTTTCCATTTCTTTGGGCCTCTCTCGTCCCTTGACAGATCGGGAGTATTTAGAGGTTTCTGAGTTGTTGGTGTTGTTGTCTGAGGCGTCTTTATTTGCTGGGAGGGAGGATGTGAGGGTGTGGTCCCCCTAACCCCTCGAAAGATTTTTCTTGTAACTCTTATTTCAATATTTTGATTTTCCCTTCTCCTTCTTCCCCTTCGACCTGTTGGTTCAACTCTCTTTGGAAGATTAAGATTCCGAAGAAGATTAAATTCTTCAGGTGGCAAGTTTTACTTGAGAAAGTCAATACTTTAGATCGTATCCAGATGATGTCTTCCTTTTGTCTGGCCCACAGTGGTGCATTCTCTGTAGGAATGCCTCGGAAGATTTGGAGCACTTGTTATGAGTTGTCGGTTTGCTCAGGATGTTTGGCTCCATTTCTTTGATTGCTTTGGCGTGTCCTGGGTCCGTTTCAGAGATTGTAGGGGGATGATGGAGGAGGTGCTGTTATACCCCCCTTTTCGTGACAGGGGTCGTTTTTTGTGGCAGGCTTGTTTTCTGGCTGCTATTTGGGGGATTTGGTTAGAGAGAAATAATAGGTTGTTTAGGGAGGTGGAGAAATCTGTTGACTATGTTTAGGATCTCATTAGATTTAATACTTCTTTATGGGGCTCTGTTTCTAAGGCCTTTTGTAATTATCTGTTAGGTTTCATTCTTTTGGATTGGAGTCAGTTTCTGTAAGGGACTCCTCTCTGGGCTGTTTTTTTATAGGCCCCTTTTGTTTCTTTTGTATTCTCTTTTCATTTTTCTCAATGAAAGTATCGTTTCTTATTAAATAAAACAAAAACAAAAAAACAAAAAAAACAAGAAGCATTATTGCTAATGTGATCTTTGACTTCTCTGTGTCTACTATGGAATTACAATACTATTTTAGATTTTCAAGCTTTGTACCATCATGGGCCCATTAGAAGATTTGAATTCTAGGATCCCAATTGTAATCAACATTCACTGCTGTTAGAGCTTCATTCCCCACTTCTTACATAGCCAAACTCTTCTGCTAATCTCAGAAATGTCTATCCTCGCTCCTATAGTGGCAAAAAAAAATATTATTTGAGGTCAGTTACTATACTTGAACCGAGTTCTTTTGGGAGTTGTCTGCCTCGACAACCTTCATATGAGCAACTAAATTGATTGAACTGTCACTCTATTCAAAACCACATGATGTGGCCTCCCACCCAATATTACTCCATAGTGTCTTTAAAATTGACCCTGATTCAAATCTATCATATATCGATTCTATCATCACAAACTTCATGAAGAAAATTTAACACCCAAGAAAGGTAAGGTCCTGGTGTGTACTTCCCAAAACTTAACTGCATTTTCTTCACTGGAGGAGCAATTCACTATCATTACAGGTTCCATTCTTTTTTCTTTTGTTTTTCTTACTTTTTTTCACTGAATAGTACGATTACAACTATTCCACCTACACAGGAATGTATTGTTCCTGAGTGAACCACAATTTAGAAAGAATCATGAGAATTTGATCATAAGAACCACGTCTCGGACATCAATATTTTACAATTCTAATTATATAAATAACAGCTTAGCACCCTAATTGCATAACTGATTAAAACAAAAATTCTACAAATTAAAAATCAATATGGTATGAGGACACCCTTGTGTATAAGATTAAAAAAGACGAGAGAACACCTCAATTGTATTAACATACCTTTATAAAGCTTTTCAATGATTGTGATCACTACAGCTACCTCAACCATATTCTTTTTGCTATGTCCATCATCATCCCCTTCCTCTTTTCCAACAGAAACATTTATGAAAGAATACGGACCAAATATTGGACTAGAAATGTAATGTTTCTCATATGATTTATTCATGACAAGAGGAGCATCCAGAATTTGATTACTGTAAAATTTGGAATTTGGAAAGTAGCTTATTGATGGATGCATTCTATACTGTGTGTTAAGCAGGTGCTTCGAATGTCCTAATAAACTCAGCCGTTCAAAAAGACTTCTACCATATCCGGCTGCATCACAAACCTAATATAAAAAGAATTAGACATTATGCGTGGCTTAAGAGGATAACTGAAGGACAAACTATATTTGAATGTTGATATCAAAAAAGACAGTAAATTGAACATACCTGGCTACTAACTATTGCTGGTAATTGGCACTCATCACCAATGAGAATAGCATGCTTTATGCCAGGAAGTTGTAAGGGTACTATTGATTCACATTCCTTCAACTGTGCAGCTTCATCAATAACTAACAAGTTCACTGGGTCCATTTTCACTGAGTTCAATTGGAATGAACTGGAAGCAGTGCAAAGTATTAGTGAAGCCCTCTGGAAACAAAACTTTCTCACACACGTTTTGCTTGCTGCATTTGGAAGTTGAAGTTGATCCAAAGAAGCCTGAAGAGTTATTAGAATTGAGAGGCACTGGCTTCTCAAATATGAAAAGGTTACTCCCACATTAGAATTTGGAAAGTCCTTAACTGCTTCTGGATTTGAAAATAGAATCTCCATTTGCTCAGAGATCACATTGTCCTGAGACAAAAAGGCGTCAAATGAATCAATGACACTCAGAAGGATCTCTATAATCTGAAAATTACATTCCAGAATGAATTGCTTGGGTATATGTGTGGTCAAAGTTTGAAGGCATCCACGAACTGCGGAAGCAGTAGATTTGAATTTGTCCTTTCTGCTCATGTTTATATCAGACTCCAACATGTAACACGAATTCCTACCTTCAAGAAGTTCTATAAGAGAAGTTATATGATATTTCCAACCAGATTGTCCAAAACACTCTGCAAGCCTGTCAACACGATAATCTAAATATATTTCTTCAAGTTCAGAACCAAATTTCAGTCGATCCTTATTCCCAAATAAAAGCACATCTCCAAAAGAACATAACACACCTCCTCCTCTGGATGATTCCCTCAATAATTTCACAACTCGAGAGGCTAATTCTGTAATAGCAACATTTGTTGGTGCACAGGCAAGAATCCTTTGCTTCATTTCCAAAATTGCCCACAGCAGAAAACTGATAGTTTTAGTTTTCCCTGTACCAGGTGGACCCCATATAAGCTCTACCGAAGGCTTATGGTCACAAAGTGTCTTGCAAACAGAACATAGCACTGCTGCTTTTTGAGAATCATTCAACGCAAAAGATAAGCTTGTCCCCAATTTTTCAGCACAGACAGCATTACTATACAAAGAGCATTTGTTACAGATGTCATCACCCTGACATCCAAAAACAATCATATTAACTGCTATTCATTGAAATAGTTTCAGTTTTCCCCAAAATTATATTTAAAGAAAATTGGGACATGAAAAATCCAAGCAAAAAACCACAATAAATGTAAGTACTTTGCATAACAGTTGGCGATATTTCAATAGCTTTCTCTTCTTTTCTTGTTGAGAAGTATTATCATGCTCTGAAAGACCCAGATAGATAACAGAATCTAGCAATGTGAACATCTTCACTGGGGAAAAGTTCTTACCATTGATTCTTTGCTCAGTACGTGCTTGAATATCTTCATATCTTCAGAATAGTGTAATGAGTTCCATATTCTCAAGTTGGTCGTTACATTCATCAGAAATGCAATAAATAATTTTTTCTGCATGCCATGTTCATCACTGATGTTTTTTGACACATTTAGTTTCAGATGAGTAGAGCGTCCATTCTCAGTGATTTGTTTAACCCAAGCAAAAGCCCAGGTCCTAGTAGAGCATTGTAAATCCATAACGGTCTCTGGCTTATCATCCAATATTAGAAAGACATCCCCAGGCAATGTTCTGTAAGGCTCCTTCCCACTATTGTTGGTAATATTCCTCCATGAATCAACATTTACATTTAACAACAATTTACCACTAGATTTTGGCTCCTCAACAGAGACCAGTTGAGCAAAAGGCGCTCTACGAATAACCTTCAAACTTGAAGACAGTTCTGCTCTTGTTTCTTCTAACAAAGGAAAGACATATGACCCAATATATTGATGCACTGTTTTAAACGATTCTGGAATTTTTTGCACCTGAAATTTTGAACTCACGAAAAGTATAAACACTCATCAAGACTGATTTTATTCAACAGACGTAACCAAAGCCTTTACAGGAATGGAGAAGCTGCTTCAATTTGCAATGACAAGTGATATAGATATGCACTATTGTATAAAGTTTACACTACAGGTAAAATAAAGGAAAGATCATTTATTTAGAGAAAAAAAAAGTACGATACTCATGCCAACTTTTTTTTTTTTTAATGAGAAACAGAGATGCTCGTGCCAACTTATGAATACTTCAATTGATCTCATCAAACTAGTATTTAAATGTTTGACATTTGAAGTTGGGAAACTCATAAAACTTGAACTTATGGCCTCCAATCCACTGAATTTATGACATTAAAATTTAGGAACTTCGTGAACATTGAACCACATCCCATTATCTTATCTTTGTCATCATCCAAATTCAGTTGTGTATTGTACAGTGTAACAAGCAAGTCCTTAATTTAGGGTAATAAAAAAACAACCATTCATGAAAAAAATGGGAATAATATATATGGGAAATCTCCTATAAAAAAAAAGGGATATAGGGAAATCAAATTCCAAATATCATCAGATAGTAAACGTCATAACAGATCTATCAGGGAAAAAATAGTAAATATTAAGAACTAAAACTTGTTAATATTGTCAGCTGGTCCAGCATCATCTGTTAATTAGAAGCAACATTGAGAAGCATAATAAAGTTCACCATCACAAAATCATAAGATCAAAATAAAGAAACTGCAAAACAATTACAGCCTCATGACATATGAGGGAGAGACAAGAACCCAGAAAATAAAAGACGATCAGAATTCAGAGAATCAAAAGATGAAAAGAAGACAGAACCTCGTCTTTATAGAAATCATCATACAACACATCTTCCAAAGTCCAAGAAAAAAAATGGTCAATGAGGCCATTGTAACCTATTTTCTTAGCTTTAAACTTCTTTGAAGAGTCCCCCATTTCCATTTTCAGGCACGATAATCTCCAATCACAAACTCCCTCTGCACCAAAATCCAAATTCAAACACAAACGAGGAAACTGGGAGATTTCAACCTCAAATCAACACTCACATCCTCCCCCATGCTTCCTTCGAATCCTGCTGCTTAATCAGAAAAGGTGGGAATCTTTTAGGAACAAATAAGAGCAAACCCATGAATGAAGAAAACAATGTAGACTCAGAATTGACTTGGAAGTGATTAAAAAATGACTTCTATTGAATCACATGGGTCCACTCCCACTTTTTTTCCTCCTTTTTCCGTACACCCAATTGGTTGATCATCGTCAAAAAGGAAGGGGACGCCATTTCCCCACGCTCTCACTTTGCACCATCGGTAAGGAACTGAACAGAGATATTTGGATTGTTTACTCTGTAAAAAAGAACAAAAGCAGGAAAAATTATACATACAGAATCAAAATCGTAGAAATGTCAGTGTTCTCTTTTTCATCGTCCAATCAAAAATTGAAATATTCTTAGCTTAATTCGGATTTTGTACGTTCCCAAAAGTCGGCCACTGCCAATTCCCAACATTTGGTTACTGCTTTCCACGCGGATTGATTCTCGTTTTTTGAAGTGTTTTTGGGAAGTAGAAGCTTTCTTGCAGGTGAAGACTCTGGTAAAACCCACTAGACGACAACTGAATCCGCCAAAACACATCAATTTCGAGAATTGCGAATTTTAGGGGAAAAAAATCAATTTTTTTATATCAATTTTTCTTTTTAAATATAACAGTAAGGTAAGTAATAATCCGTTGAATATAGGTGTACTTGAGCTAAGTTCAAATGGATAGTTTTTAGTGTAAACTTTTGATTTCATTAACGTCTTCTTTACCTACAAGAAATCGAATGGAAATAAATCAAAATAAAAATTTATAAAATATTGTTCATCTAATGCCTATTTTATGGATGGAAATCATGTATATAACAATTAGTAATAATCTTTATTAGAAAAAAATTATTAATAGTATAAATGAAAAGGAAATAATAAAATTATAAACCAACTAATTTAAAAAAAAAACTTGGTAAAATATAAAGTAGAATAAACAAAAAGTAAACATTGGAATAAAAAAGTTTATGCTCATTCATTCATTCCTAAATTGTATCATAAACTGTGCGGGTGAGGTTTCGAACTCATGATCTTTCAATAAGAAATATATACCAATTATCGTTATACTATGCTCGTTTTGACAATATCATAGATTTTTTAAGTTTGTACTTTAAATGCTGTTATATTTACTTTACACATAAAATATCAATTAGATAGTCAAATTTTTTTATAAATAATATATTTTTGAGAAAAAAAAAAGAGTAGGTTTAAAACTAATTCCAATTTTTTTTAGTACAAAAAACTAATTCCAAAAATAGAATATACGAATCGTGGAAATCAACCAAATTAGATTCGAGTAGATCGCGTGAAAAAATTAAACATCCCAAATATTTCTCCTCCCTCTACATGAATTTCTTTGATTTTTGTCAAACGAAGCATAACTCATGTGATTAGGCACCTATTTCTGATCAAGAAGTCATGACTTCAAATCCCCACCCCCACATGTTGTATCAAAAGAATTTCTTTCATTTTCTCTATCTCCCCATCTCTACCGGAAGTCTTTTAAAAATGATGTGGAGTTAAATTGTGAAGGGAAGGAATATACATCTTACACTCATTTTCGTAATAACCACTTATAAGAAATTGATAGCTGTAATATACACACATATATATAGCATTTCTCTCTACCACTAATACTAAAGGAATATAATTTTTTTTTTTTTACAAAGCACCAATGGAAAAATACAAAACAAGAAGAAAGAAAATACTACTTTTCTACTTTCATCTCTAGTACATAGTATCTCTCTCTCTCCCAATTTCAATACTAAAAGTATTATTCATTTTTATAGTATAGCCTATGGGGATGAAGATTCCAACTCACGACCTTTTGGTCGGAGATAAGCGCTATAACTAGTTGAATTATACTCAGGTTGGCAAGTAATGTCCTCATTAAACCGCTCTCTCTTCCATATATTATTAGTTTCACGCTCTTTTCTTTTACCTTTTATTTCCAGGCTCACTCGTTGCTATTAATGTTCAACTATTATTCAGCTAGCCAACCATCATTTTATCCCCATTACTATTTCTCTTTCTACTTTACGCTTCTTTTCTTGTTTTTGGTCGAATATCATATAATATTGATCTAAAATTAATATTTCGAATTTTTGGGAAATCGCATGATACCATGTGTCCGTACCCCTACCATACATAAGCACGTAACTCGTGTTTGATGCCCACGATTTCCAGATGTGGCAAAAATAATCCTATTTTTGTCCATATTTTGAGAAGGTACCTTATTTCTAACTTTTTTTTTAATATTTTAGACTACACTTTCATTTTTATAAAATTTACTTAAAAAACTACCATATTTTAGGATTCTTTTAAAACTACATTATTGGTAAAATTTGTCTTCGAATTTTTTATGTTTATTCTATATTTAAATTATCTATTTAATTGGATCAACATTATCCATTGATAAATCTATAACTTTAGGTCTTTTTTAAATTGATTCATACGTGTATATCTACTCAATAATTGCTTCAAAGTGAATTACTTTAGATAAAAAAATATTTAGTTTTTTTCTTATAAATTTTGAGTATACAAATTCCGTTTTTTTCCCTAAAGTTTTTCTTAAAAAAAAAAAAAGAATCCAATTTCAAACTTATTAACCCAAGGATTAAATTAACCCAAGGATTCGGTTGAGGGTGATAGTCATATACGGTGGTATTTAGCTTGTTAACCTACTTTAGTTATCATTATATCCATGGTAATAAGAAATCATTGTTGGAATTAATTTAATAATTAATTCATATGTGGGTGACAAATTAAAGAGCAATTATATTTGGGCTATTTAATGGGCATACAAGTGATTTTAATTATGGGCCCATGACTTCCCATTTAGTGGTGTGGCTTGCTGAGTAGAAACCAGCTCATTGCCCATATTTGGTCTGGGTTGCATAGTTGAGGAAGACCACAAACCACAACTTCTTGCAGATCGTGGTCAATCTATCTAATGGTTTCAGGTAATTCTAATTTCTTTATAGATTTTGGTTTTCTTCCATGCTTAGATCCTTGGTCTTGATTGTTGTGGAATTTTATGGCTTTTGTTTTAGAATAATTATGAATTAGGGTTTATTTAATTTTTCCAACAAGTGGTATCAGAGCAAGTTTTGCATGCATGATTACTGGATCTCTAAGAGTTAAGTTCATTGTTCTTTTAATAACTTATTTATTTAAACAAAAAGTTATTAAAATTATTTGGATTGATAAGATGTTTGAAAAATTTTCACATGATTAAAATTCTTAATTGATTGAAAATTGTTCGAATTTATCCCTTACTAATTTGATAAAGTTTATTTTTTTTATTAACAAATTAGTTGAGATAGTGAATCTTTAGTTTTCATTAAAAGAAAAATTAAAAAAATTGCGGCACTCCATTAAGGTGTCGTTTGAAGATAACGGCTGGTGCATGGAGATAATGCCCAAGCACTAACTATTTTTTAAATGTTGCAGTACGCAAACTTATAGATGTTCTTTTTTGTGGCTATTTATTTAATTTTTAATAACTATTTATTTAGTTATCAATTTATATTCTGTTTTGAATATTCTGGGCGAATTTAAATATGGAGGTCGATTTAATTTTCCTTTTATGTTGGGCTAATTAAAGATTGTTGATTATGGTGAATAAATTAACAATTTAATCAATACTTTGCACAATTTTTTAAATTTCTATGAGTGTTTTGATTTAGAAATATTATTGTTAATTGTTGAAAATAACTTAGGTATTTTATTTCCATATGAAAACAATTAAGAATAATTAAGTAATAATTTTGTGAGATTTGAGTATTGTTGTTTATACGAATTGTGATCGGCCCAAAGGAAGGTCACAATTTGGCCAAATAACAACTACACTTACAATTATGGAATTAATTATTGATATTAGATTATTGTGCTGCAATTAATACTCCATAGCCTATGTTGAATTGTTGATGAGTTATAATATCAATAATATTCCTTTGGGAAAATCCAGTTTTTATTTTTTATTTTTTTTCTGGATTTAATAAATTGTTTAGAGGACTTTTTCAAATTATTAAATTATGCATATAAAGATATTATTATTAATTTTGAAATAATTTTGGTAGTTTTATTTTCATAAAGATAAAATTAATAATAATTAAAGTTATATATGTTGCATAATTGTCTGATCCTTTTGGTTGGTGTTAATTTGATGAATCATGCTACCAAAGTAGCCTCTGATTTCTGATATTGATATCTTTCAAAATTATCAGATGTTTGTGGATTTATGTATTTATGCACTCTGTAGTCCGCCCAAAGGAAGACTTCAGTTTGGCCAAATAACAGGTCCACATATAGTTATATGGTGATAAACATGGATAATATAAAGTTATGCCATGTGAGTGATTGCCGGCCCAAAGGAAGGCTTTCACTTGACATGATTGATTATCAATGTTTGATCACCACACGGAGAGTACCACTTGCAAGTTGATATTGTCGGCCCAAAGGAAGACTATCAATGTTGTGTTAGGTATCTTGTTGTTCTCATTGAGTTTAATTATAAAGTATTTTTATAAATACTTAAGGTTGATTTCGAGCTTGTTTTATTATTGAATTAGTCATTGGTAAATATTATTTAATTGCCTTATTGTGTATTTAAAAATAATTTCTATTCAAGTTTGCATGAATTTTTGATAAAGAAAGGAAACACTTCAACTTTTGCAAATCAATATCCCTCTAAGGTTTAATTGGGATCTTGAAAAGTCGGAGTAACCTTAATTACATAAGTATTATGACGGTGTTTTGCAACATTCAAGAGGATTATGTTTAATGAGGAAATAATTAGGAAAGTTCTTTAAGGATTGTTTTGAAAAGTACAAAAGGAATAGACTTTAAATTTTTGTTGACTATTTCTTAATAAAGAATAAAGGAACACTAGTGAGTACAATAAAGGATCTAATGCACAAAATTTAAAATATTCAAGGATTTACTTGTGCATTTGATACCATTTGAGACATTATACAGTAGGTATGTAGTGGGTTATGATACTTATAACTGATGTTTCAAGGAAAATAGGTTAAGTAAGAAAAGATAAAATTGTATTCATTAATTGTTTATTTCCTTAAAGAAAGAAATTATTGTTGGTACTAAGATTTATTTGGAACATATGTTCGCCTAAACCACAAAAGAATCAAGCTTAGGACTTCTCTTGATATTTTTAGGAAATTTGAACATATATAAGAAAAAACAAAAAAATGTTCCAAATACATTGCCACATGAGGTATAAAGAAAATTTGGCTTCTCACTTAGGGTATTTAACAAGCTAGACTTGCATATGAAAACTTATATTATGTGTTGAATAGACTTTGGTATTTCTATTCGTTGCTTGTTGGTTCTCAAGATTAAACAGACATTCAAGTCTGTATTAGGAATGATCAAGAGAACTTAACTGGAATTGTCAAATTAGGTGCTATTGAGAGTTTTAGTATTTTAGAACATCAATTTATAGCCTATTCAATATGGCTTCTTTAAATGTTTAAC